TGTTGCATTGTGGTAAATTGTGGTCAATGTCATGAGACGAAGTGTATGTGAACTGCTGTATGGTAAGTGTATTTGCTCTGTAAATTTTCACCCAAATCACAACAAAACTAAATAAATAAATAAGTAACAAGTTTTGCAGGTGTATAAACATGTGAAGAGCAGCATGCAGGATAAGCTGGAGGCCCTGGACTTCTTGGAACCTTCCACAGAGATCCATATACAGCAGAAGACCCTGAGATGGTGCCCCGAAGGTGCAGGAGAAAGCATCTCCAAAAGACAATGCCTAGAGGAAGGGCAACAAGCCACCCACTCCTGAGGGAAAGGCTGAGCCAGAGTCCTGGGTGGCACGCAGGGTTAAGCAACCCCCTACACCACAGGTTGGTGGTTTCAGTCCACCCAGTGGCAGCTCAGAAGAAAGCCTGGAGATCCACTTCTAAAACATCAGTCACTGGAAATCCTATGGAGCCTATTCTACTCAGACCCATATGGGTCACTATGAGTCTGAACTGACTTGACAGTAACTGGTGGGGTATTTTTTTGTTTCTGTTTGCTTCCTGGCCTCCCTAAGTATACTGGGTATACCAGGCAATGGTATACCATCCTACCCATGCCAGTCTGGTGAGTGGTCATTCCTTGGCCCTGCCTCCTAAAACAAACTTCTGTGGCCAACCCTGTACAGTATGCAGTGTAGTGTCTGTGTGCAGTGTCTTCACTGTAAAATGGGACAGTACTGTTACCTTGTCCTAAAGATCAAATGGGATAATGTACTTGAAGTGATGAGCAAATGGCCTGTCTTGTCATCAGGTTCTGATACGTGTCAGTTATTTTCTTCAGCTCCCTGAAGAACAGAGAGAAAGCAGACACCCTGCTCCGAGGAAGGAGGAAGTGCAGCCCGTCAGCCCACGCGTGCCTGCCCTACCCTCCCTCTGTCCCCTCACCTCTGGCGTCAGGGCATTGTTATCCGAGGTCTGGCTGGACAGCAGGATGTGTGTGAACCCCTCTTCCTTCCGCACAACAATGTCTCGAAACCGGCAGTTGCTCTCATTCTGGCGGACGCTGTACCTGAGCCTCTTGTCGAAGACGTAGTCCTTCTCTGCTTCCAGCTTCCTCTTCACAGGGCTGTGCAGGTTGAGTCCCCCGTTGGTCAGAACAGAGCCTTCCAGAACCAGATAAACAAAGTGAGAAAGAGACTTGTGAGAACCCACAATGGCATAATCAGAGAGTGTTTAGATTTTCAGTTCAAAGAGGCACTCGGGGGGTGAAGGGGGCGGCAGACAGGAGCCAAATATGGCTGAGATTCACCATGTTCTGAGGAGCTGGAGCTTGGAGCTACACCACCAAATGTGGAAGAGGCAGTAGGGCCTCTCCCAAGGCCTCGTGCAATCCCTGATGCACCTCTCCCCCAACTCTGCCTGTGAGCCCCCAGCTCCTGTTTGGACTCCTGAGCAGTAGGGAACCCACCGACTGCTGCAGAGGGCAGCCGTTACATTGGTGGACACCTCAGACTGATGGCAAGTCTTTGTCAGGAGCAATAAGAGCTTCTAACCTCTGTTCAAGCTGTATCACGTCCTGAGCACTCTCCGAAAACAGCAAATGTGCATGATTCTATGTAACGTAAGAACCACAGCTCTGGGGCTCCAGAGCTACCATAGCAGCTGCCCTCACATGAGGGGCAGCCTAATGTCTCTCCTCTACCTTCCTTCAAACCAATTACAACAGTTTGACTTTTTTTTTTTTTTTTAATCTATTAGCTTTCAGTAAATGCCCTGGCTGAAAAGACTTGAAAATGTCTAACAATAATACTAATAATCCAGATTTATGATAGCTCCCAAACTCCTGCTTCCCAAGGAGAGTTTTCAGAAGTACCTGGGATATCCTCAAAGTCAGCAAGTCCAAGTCCATGCCCACCGAACCCTACGTCCTCAACAGGTCTGGGGTGAACCTCAAGTGTGTATTCTGAAAATACTTCCCAGCCAAGATAAAAAGAAGGGAAAAAAACTGTTGATTCTGTGTTAGGACCCTGGGTTCACATCTCCAATGGTGATTTGGAAAGAGGATTCATTTCTGGGCCTGGATGTGGAGAAGAGCCTCCGTAACTGTCTGACTGATGCCATGGCATAGCTGAGTTACATGACATTTCTGGATGTAAGTGGCTAAAAACAGACCTTCCTTTAGATGCAGAGCAGTCAGCTCTGGATTCCCTCAGACTCTGCCCTCCGGCCTCTCCCCTTCTGGGATCATCACACCCCTAAGCAGACTACGGCTGGCTGCCAGGTAAGGTGTCATGGAAAACAGAATGGGCCACAAGTTCAGGGCTTTGTAGCCACGCAACAGGGAGTCTCAGCACTGTGTCTGCTAACTGGGAAGAGCGAGGAAGCCACGTGAGCTCTTGAGCACCAAGCTCCTGGTTTATAAGACAGGGTTAATAATATCTACCTTCAAGAATTGTTTTTCAGCTAATTCAATTAAAGATGCAAAATGGGTTTAGCAAAGTGCCTGGTACATCCTAGGCACTTCACAATATCAGATGAAGGATGCCAAGTCCTCCAAAGAAGAGGAATTATACAGTGAGTCCCATAACTACCCTTCTCCTTCTGCTCCTGACCCACACCCTCTTCTCTCAGGCCAGGGCAGGACCCAGGTCAAGAGAAGGGGCACTCCAGGCACACAGGAGACCCAACTGCCTTCCTGAGCCCTCAAATTGGAGGACTCGGGGATGGGGCACTGCTGTATCTAAGGCAGGAAACCTGATCATTCTTCTCCTCCACTGTACTGCACACAAAATGGAAGAAATCATTCCTGTCTCTCAGGATTGTTACAAAATAGAGGGAATGTCATGTCCCTGGCATGCAGGACACACACCATCACACTGGTTTCCTTTCTCCTATTCCTTTCAAGCCACCACTCATCTTTCAGTTTGTCATACTGTAATGTCTTATGTGCTGCTATGAGGCAGTAGACTAAGCCGCCAGTATTTCAAATATCAGCACGGTCACCCATGGTAGGCAGGTTTCAGTGGAGCTTTCAGACTAAGACTCATAAGATGGAAGGGGCCACCCACATCTCAAAGAACTGGACAGTTAAAACTTTATGAATCGCAATGAAACACTGTCTGATATATATTACTGGAAAACTTATGAATAGCCTTGAAACATTGTCTGTAATACTGCTAAAAGATAAGTCCCTCAGATTGGAAGGCACTCAAAATATGACTGGTAAGAGTTGCCTCCTCAAAGGAGAGTCAACCTTAATAACACGGATGGAGTAAAGCTTTCAAGATAACCATTTGCTGATGTGACATGACTCAAAATGGGAAAAAAAAACAGCTGCAAATGTTCATTAATAATCAGAACACAGAATGTACAAAGTATGAATCTAGGAAAATAAGAGATTGTCAAAATGAAATGGAATGTATAAATATCACTATCCTAGGCATTAGTGAGCTCAAATGGACTGGTTTTGGCCATCTTTTATCAGACAACCATATGAACTACTATCCTGGGAATGACAAATTAAAGAGAATGACATGACATTCATCATCACAAAAAATGTTTCAAGATCTATCCTGAAGAACAATGCTGCCAGTGATAGGATAATATCCATACACCTACAAGGGAGACCAGTTAATGCTACTATTATTCAAATTTAGGCACCAACCATCAAACCCAAAAATGAGGAAATTAAAGATTTTTACCAACTTCTGCAGTCTGAAATTGACCAAATATGCAATCAAGAGGCATTGATTACTACTGGTGATTGGAATGTGAAAGTTGGAAACAAAGAAGAATCACCAGTAGTTGGAAAAATATGGCCTTGGTGACAGAAATGATACTAAAGATCATATGATAGAATTTTGCAAGATGAACTCCTTGTTCACTGAAAATACCCTTTTTCAACAACATAAACATGGACTAAACACGTGGATCTCACCAGATCACAGGAAACAGATCAACTACATCTACAGAAAGAGGCAATGGAAAAGCTCAAAATCTTCAGCCAAAACAAGGCCAAGAGCTGACTGTGGAAGAGACCATCAATTGCCTATATGCAAGTTCAAACTGAAGCTGAAGACAATTAAAACAAATCTAGGAGAGCCAAACTATGACCTTGATTATATCCCACCTGAATTTAGAGATCATCTGAAGAAAAGTTTTGATGTACTGAACACCAATGACTGAAAACTAGACAAATTATGGGATGACATCAAGAATATCATCCATGAGGAAGTGGGAGGGCAGCTGTTGCATTGTGGTAAACCGTGGTCAACGACATAACACAAAGTATATGTGAACTGCTGTATGGAAAGTGAATTTGCTCTGTAAATCTTCACCCAAAATCACAAATAAAATATATATATAGTCCCTGAAAAAAAGAGAATATCATCCATGAAGAAATTAAAAGGTCATTAAAAGACAGGAAAGGAAGAAAAGACCAAAATGGATGTCAGAAGACACTCTAAAACTTGTCCTCAGACAGAGAGTATGTAAAGCAAATGGAAGAAATAACAGGATAAAAGAGCTGAACAGAAGATTTCAAAGAGCAGCTCAAGAAGACAGAGTCAATTATTATAATGAAATGTGCAAAGACTTGGAGTTGGAAAACCAAAAGGTAAGAACACGCTCAGCATTTCTCAAGCTGAAAGAACTGAGGAAAAAATTCAAGCCTCGAGTTGCAATAGTGAAAGACTCTATGAGCAAAATATTGAATGACGCAGGCAGCATCGAAAGAAGATGGAAGGAATACACAAAGTCACTGTACCAAAAAGAATTGATTGACGTTCATCTATTTCAGGAGGTGGCATATGATTAAGAACCAATAGTACTGAAGGAAGAAGTCGAAGCTGCACTGAAGGAATTGGCAAAAAACAAGCTCCAGGAATTGACAGAATACCCACTGAGATGTTTCAACAAAGGGATGCTGTACTAGAGGCACTTATTCATCTATGTCAAGAAACTTGGAAGACAGCTACCTGGCCAAGTGACTGGAAGAGATCCATATTTTTGCCCATTCCAAAGAAAGGTGATCCCACAGAATGTGGAAATTATCGAAAAATATCATTAATATCACATACAAGTAAAATTTTGCTGAAGAAAATTCAAAAACAGTTGCAGCAGTACATTGACAGAGAACTTCCAGAAATGTAAGCTGGATTCAGAAGAGTACATGAAATGAGCGATATCATTGCTCATATCAGATGGATCTTGGCTGAAAGCAAAAATACCAGAAAGATGCTGATTTTTATTTTACTGACTGTGAAAAAGCATTTGATTGTATGGATCCTAACAAATTATGTATAACACTGAGAAGAATGGGAATTCTAGAACACTTAATTGTGCTCATGAGGAAACTGTACATAGACCAGGAGGCTGTTGTTCAAACAGAACAAGGGGATACTGCACAGTTTAAAATCAGGAAGGGAGTGTGTCAGGATTGTATCCTTTCACCATACTTATTCAACTTGTATGCTGAGCAAATAATCCGAGAAGCTGGACTATATGAAGAAGAACATGGCATCAGGATTGGAGGAAGACTCATTAACAACCTGAGATATGCAGGTGACCCAGCCTTGCTTGCTGAAACTGAAGATGACTTGAAGCACTTACTCAAGAAGGTTAAAGACTACAGTCTGCAGTATGGACATAAGGAAAACGAAAATCCTCACAACCGGCCAAGAAACAGCATGACAATAAATGGAAAAAAGACTGAAGTTGTCAAAGACTTCAGATTACTTAGTTCCATAATCAATGCCAACGGAAGCAGCAGTCAAGACATCAAACAACGTATCGCACTGGTCAAATCTGCTGCCAAGGAGCTCTTTAAAGTGCTGAAGACAAAAGATGTCTCTTTGAAGACTAAGGTGTGCCTAACCCAAGCCATGGTGTTTTTAATCACCTCATATGCATGTGAAAGCTGGACAGTGAATAAGGAAGACTGAAGAAGACTTGATGCCTTTGAGTTGTGTTGATGAATACTGAAAGTGCCATGCATGGACTGCCAGAAGAACAAACAAATCTGCCCTGGAAGTGCAGCCAGAATGCTCCCTGGAAGCGAGAATGGCCATACTTCGTCTCATCTGCTTTGGTGCACACTGTCAGAAAGGACCACTTCCTGGAGAAGAATGTCATGCTTGGTAAAATGGAGGGTCAGTGAAAAAGA